TACACACATCAACCAAAACACAACACCAACTTCGTGCAGCAAACGCAATTTAAATCATACAACGCTTTCTGCACGAAAGTAATGTACTATCCAAATACTTACTTATGTACCAACACTGGTGTACATTCTCGGTTACATAACAACAGTGAAAAACGTTAGGTTAGGTTGGAATTAGAATTAGGGGGTCATCAGGTCGTCGACGTCTGAAGGATATTTGCAGATTTTCGGTGCTGGAGGAAACGTGGCATTGACACTGGCGATAAGTCTCCCCGGGCAGCTCGATTCCGCTCGATAAATTTCAACGTGTAACGGGCCAATCTAATTCCTTCAGCTCTGTCAACTCGTTAACGACACCGCCGCCGGTGCAATCAGCCACTATATCTGCGATAGTGCACGCGAAAATAATGGGAATCGGTGAGTTAGCCCGACACCTCCACGGGAATGACGCGGTTCTCTGCGGTCTACGTCATCGCCCGGTTTACATCGAGACATCACGAGGGACCGGTTTCTTCAAGGTATCCCCTCCTGCGTGTCTCTCTTTCTCTCTCTCTCTCTCTCTTTTACTGCCTCTCCAGACGTGTTCATTTCGTATTCGAGCTCACTCGCTGTGGATCTTTTTCCACAAAGGATGAAAACATCGACCATTTCAACGCGCCATCCTTCTGTTTTTTTTTTTTTCTGCAGAAGACCAAAGCTCGGAGATAGAATGTTTTTTTGCGGGAGAAACGAGGACATGGTTTGAGAGATGGCTGAAAAGATTTGGGGAAAGGACTGATGGAGAATACACAGGGTGGGCCGTTTGAAACAGGCTGTGCAGGCATGTTTCGTGTATATACACCTGTAACCCCTAGACGTATGATTTCTTTTCTGACTGTGCATCTAAGCGTCAGCCATTTTCTATTTTAGCACCGTATCGGGTAATAAAAGTTAATCTGTTGCAGATCGAGTACATTTTGTAACTCTGTTTTCGGAATTCAAACGAAAGTTAGGATTACGATGAATTTTTCTTATCGATATAACTATTTTCCTCGCATCTTCGCCAGAGTCTTTGCCATAGGTTAAACGGTTAACCCTCGTAATGCAGGGTCATTTTGACCGAAGAGCGTTAAAGTCAGGCGGCTGAGATTACGTTTGGTACAGGAAATAAAGAAGAAAAATATACATTTATATCCAATTCCTTCTTGAAACCCATGAAAAATTTTGCTCTGAGTCAAAATCACCCTGCATTCGTCTAAAACCATTCGCCTTCCGAGGGTTAACACGTTGAAAATCAGCGAAAGCATTTTTAATTTGAATAAATGGTAGTATTTGTAAAATTTTCATCTAATGCGTCACACGGGATATTTAAATGGTTCTACTTCTAACTGTTGATATACTCCTTATGCACATTGCGGTGTGTTGTATTAGAATAAAAAATTCTACGAATGCAGAATTGGTCTGGCATTGAACGTGTTGAAAGAGGCGTGCGACGTGCGATGAGTTATTTGTTTGCAAGGTTCTCAAAACTTAACGGACGGGTCACGTAAATTTACGTTTTTCCATTCTGACTTCCCAGGACGGCCCACGTAGATTTACGTTTTTGCTTGAACTTTTATTACGCTGCGTTAGTTTTTCATTTTTAAGTTTCTAAAAGAAGTAGCAAGGATCTGTGTTACCGATCAACGAGTAAATGATTCCGATTCCGAAGAGACTGCCAATTATGTCGAAATTCAACCAACTAGGAGAACTCCAAAAGTAGATCCACCAGGTAGATTGTCGGGAAACACGAAGCAGCACATCCTTAAGCAAATTGTTGGGAAAGGAAAGAAAAAAATATCCTCAAAAGCCTTGCAAAGTCTGCAGCTCAAAGGAAAAAATAAGCGAAACAAGACATAATACGTCAATTCTGTCAGGTTCCACTTCACAAGGGTGAATGTTTTACAAAATATCACACTCGTAAGAAATACTAGACATGTAAATAAACAACTTTGCAAAATTTTATCAAAAATAGTGTTGATTTAATAAAACTGCAAACCTTTAAAACCATACATACATGTTTATTTAATTCTCTTAAAAACCGCCCGGAAACCGAGAAAGACAGAGAAAAAACAACCCGTCTGTTAAGTGTTAAGAAGAGCGTTAGTGAAATATTGTCTGTGTGTTCAAATTTTATGTATCATCTAGAGACTTCGAATGCAGCAACCCTTTTTTTTTTATCGAAACTTATCGTATATTTACTGCGCAAGAATTCGTATAATTCTAAGGAACTCGGCAGAATTAATGTATTCACCTGTTTACCATAGACATGGTCTATAGATTTTAATTGTAGGTCAATCTGCTCAATCAGTCATTACATGGCTGCAGTATACCTGGCTGTGCTAAGGTAGCATAAGCAATTAAACTCGGTCAATTAAAACAGGCCACCTAATTATCGAAGAAATCTTTTACGCCTAATTCACATGGTTTCAAAGAGCGAATAAGATGGAAGAAGCGTAAAAAGATCGCAGGAAATTTCACATTTGATTTAAAATTTATTGCTCAGGGTCCTGCTAACATCACATTACTATGCACGTATAACCCTGAGAAGAAAAACGAGAAAAAATGGTACATATAAAAAAAATTAAAAGAGGCCACCTAATTATCTAAGAAATCTTTTACGCCTAATTCACATGGTTTCAAAGAGCGAGTAAGATGGAAGAAGAGTAAAAAGATCGCAGGAAATTTCACACTTGATTGAAAATTAATTGTCCAAAATCACGCTAAGATCGCATTATTATGCACGTATGACCCTGAAAAAAAAAAGGGAAAAAATAGTTCGAAACTGTTTGAAGCAAATTCGAATTACATACAAAAATTTTCTTCTACGAATCATACACGGAGAAGATAATTATTTGGCCTTCTTTACATAGCCCACCCAGTATATCGCCAGATCGTGTCACATCGGTCGTACTGTACCACGATTCGCCGTAGAAATGAAATTTCAATTGAAGGGAAAGTAGGTGTGCGTTTGAAACGAGCATAACGCTTTAGGCAACGTATACCCGCCGCGCGTATATATAGCCTTGTGTAACTATCCCACAAACTTCATTCTTAAGAACAGGTGCATTCAAAGTTTTGATCGTCAACGTATAAGCAAACGAGATCTTCCCTCTCGTTTCTCTCTCCTCAGGCCACAATCGCAGCGAAAGAGTCGAACGTGTTCCGCAAGCTCCGCGGGGGCGAAGAAAATTGCATCTCGCATGCGTATATCGCCTCGCGTGTAAGTACATACGTGTGACCGTTGTCGACGTAATCTCTTACGATGGAAAGCGAACAGAGTAAATGTCGTGTCGCGCGATATCTCTCCTCTTCGGGGCGGAACGCGAGCCAAAGCGTGTGCACGTGAGTACAGCGGCATCCAAAGAGAGTTGTTTGTTCTCGAATGAGGGAACCGTGTGGTGCTTTTACGAGCGGAACGCACCGCGTCGGAATAAACGTGTGCGTTTTACGATCTCTCTCTCTCTCTCTCCAGCACAGTTCTTCGAGTTTCCATGGGAAATCGAAGGGAGCAACTCTCTGTTTCGCATTGAATTAAAAGTCTACTTGGTAGTAGACGTAACAACGGCAGACTCGAGGACGTACGCTGTAAGTGGAGAGAAAAAATAGGGAAGGAACAGAAGAATTCGAGGAGAAAATGTCGCCAGTGTGTTACACAACAGCGTTGAACTTGCGTCTTGAATGAATCGGCAATTACCATCGCGCGCATCCGTGGCGCCAAGCCGTATCTGTCGAATAATGCGAACGCGGGAAACCTCCGTGGTGTAGAGATGAACGAGAATATTACTGCTGCGAGTTCTGGATAAACTTATTCCGTGGGAACGTGAATTAACGACGAAGAGAAAATTCGGATTTGTAAGATGGATTAGGCGAGCTAGATTCACGAGTGAATGGTTGTACTATGGTGTAAGAGACTGTACAACAGTAGTGACAAATAATAGAAGGAAACATCAGAGGCGAACTGGAAGAAAAAGTGTAAATAAATGGAGAGGATCGGAGAGACGATTTCATTAACGCTAGGTTTACGGGACGCGTCATTTTTAAGTGAATTTCACAAGGAAAGTTACAGAAATTGTTTACATTTCTCTGCTATCGCTTATGCTTGTCGCAATATCGCGTAGTTTCGTTTAGAAATTAATTGTGTAATTTGTTTTTAAATAAAATAGGTAGTCCTTTAAGTCGATGTTCAATATTTAATATTTACGTACTCTTTAGAAGAGTATAATTTTTTTCAAATTGGACCTAACGATTTCAGTTTTTTGTTTTTTTTTGAGAAGTTAGAAAAATTTTAAAGGTCGCTGTTTTCAAATTTTTCATCTGAGCTTGTAGCGAGAATTTAAAATATACGTTTTGTAGATTATGCTGAAAATTTCAGATTTATTGCAGTTGTAGTCCCGAAGTCGTGAAAAAGTGCGATTTTCACAATCTTTAACCGTAATCGGTTGATGGAGAAACAAGCGACAGACGTCGGAAGATGTGAGAATCTTCAGACTTACTACAGTTGCAGGCAGAAAATCGAGAATACCTGGAATTTTCACAGTTTTAACCGTTTGTAGCTCATAGCAACATTAACCTTTCGATGAAAACGTATTCTTCAAATTTTCACTACAAAAGAAAGCGACCTTTACGATTTCCACAAATTGCAATTTTTCCAAAAAATTCTCCACACCTCGTCTAGCATACTAATCTTTCCAGCTTCTCGAAAGAACTCGTTCCATCCAATTTTCGAAACGTTGTACTGTTCCAAAGAGTGTCCGAATATTAGTGGGAGTCGCGGTACGCAAGAAACGTCCGTAAACCTACTGTCAAGCTCGTCCTTAAGAGGGGCAAGCAAAGAGGGAACGAGAGTATAGAGAATCTAGACTACCCACACGGGTACAATAAGAATCGGTTTCGAAGGATCGTGTGCACGCACACTCTCGCTGGATCTACACGCGAGTGAATACGCGGTAACGTCCCACGCCGTGCGACACACCAGAGAGAGAAAAGTAGGGATCGGCGTTCTCCAGGCAAAAGAGCTAACGCGGCAGCAAATGGTAGTGACGGAGAGCAACGGTGTGCCGTGTGGTCACTAGGGCCAGCGAGGCATCGTCGATGCCACAACGACTCGCGGTACCGAACCGAGAACATCGGTTGTCGAACACGAGAGCCTTCTCCTGCCGCGTTTCGCACTCTGTCACGTCCTAACGCAACAACTATCGTTTACACGAAGAGGAAACACACACGGAGAAGGAACAACACAACAAGAGAAATATATATATTACCGAGTACGTATCGAGGGAAAAAGATAAGACGCGTGTAAACTCAGGTGCGCACACAGGCACACACATAGAGGAAAGGCTGAGTCTTCAGGGACGAAGAGAAACGAGTTTGCAAACGGAACAGGTCGCGGTGAAGCTTCAGTCCGGCTCGAGAAATCGCCGGTTAACGAGTCGCGTGTCTGACTTGTCGTCACGGATTTGCGGTTTTTTTTTTTGTTTTTCGTCGACATTCTTCACGGTTTACAAGTGAGTGGTATTATTCTCGAGGACGATTACGCGTGTTCGAATTTGTATGAAATATCGTCGTACGAGATTGTGATTGCCGAGTGAGTTACAATGACTATACACAAGAAAACCGGTGGAAAGAGCAAGGGGAGCACGAAGGAAGTCGCCGCTGCTTCCTCCAGCTCCTCAGACATGACCACTGTGGAGACTGTCGAGGTGGTATCGTCGACGAGCGTCGTCGAGGAGGAGAGACAGGTGATGGAGAGTGAATCTAGAAGCAGTATCGTCGAGACGAGCAGTGCTAGCAGAGAGGTCATCATGGATTCGAAGGGTAACGTGATCAAAATCATCGACACTCCTTCGCCGACTCCTCCGCGAACTACTTCCACCTACAAATCAGGCAAAAGTTCGCAGGATTTCATCGCCGAGGAGCAGGTACAAAATGTGAAACAGAGTAAAACGATCATCGAGAGTCCGCAGAAAATGAAGGATCTTGAAGTTTATTCGGGCGATCGTCGCGGAGGAACGTTGGAGCAAGTCAGTAGATCGTCCGAGACGCAAAGTCGCAGCGAATCTCGAGCGGAGACCGTTGAAAAATCCGTGTCCTCGACCACGGTGGTGGAGACTTCGTCTTCGACAGAGGATTACTACGATCACCAGTCGAAGAGGATGGTTTCCAACGGGACCGGGAAGAGCGAGCAAGTCCCGCGAGTGCAAACATCGTCCAAGTCGTACGAGAGCAGACAAGCGAGCAAAGACACGTACGAGGAGGTCACTAAAGATGGCCAAACAACGGCTAGCAGCATGAGAGTTCGCGAGTCCGGGGAAAAAGTGGACGACAATGGACGGGTGACGGCCTCGCAGAGTCGCAGCACTGACAACGAAACAACGGTCGTACCATCGGACCACGCCGGAGTCAAACACAGGGATGACGTCAGGAGCGCGAATAACAAGGTGATTCTCGATTCTTCCGCGAGTGAAAGCACGGCGAGGAGCGACGTAAAAGCGGACAAACGCAGCGAAGTCGTGACACGGTGCAACAAACCTAGCCAGTCTGCGTGGGACGGCACGTTTATTAGCGAAAGTCCACCGCAGGCGAAAGAGGATAAGGTCAGAACGGTGCACGTGACGTCTCGAAGGGACAGAGAGACGGAGAAAGCACGTAAAGAACTGGCTTCGCAGCTTGCCAACACGGATATCAAACAGGACAGCGTGTCCAGCGTTGAAATCACCGAGAGTTCGGTCATCGATCAGCGTGCGTCCTCGTCCTCGTCCACGATAATTCGCGACTCGAGGATTGTCGTCGACGAGGGAGTCACTTCGTCGACGAATATCGAGAGCTTCGATCGAAATTTGTCGTCTATATCGAAGGATTCTTTGGAGAACATCTCTGGAGACGCGATCGACTTCGCTGGCGGACAGAAGCAGATCACGACGGAAGTGCAGAAGGGATCGAGTAGGTATGCGAAACCTGGAGAATCTACTTGGGATGGAACTTTCGTGACGGAGAAGCAGCCATTGCCTAGGAAACGGAACGTTTCTGACGCCTCTGTTTTCCATCATCCTGGCGGAGACAACGTCGTGGAATCGACGCAGAGAACGGATTTCAAAGAGAAGAGTTTGGACGGTTCTTACGAGAAGAAGTCGTCCAATCTGGTTCACGTGGTACAAGGCGGTACTGATTCTTCGAGGTTCGTATCTGAGGAGCGTAGAGACGTTACGGAGGAAATTTACATCGATGGAAAGCCTGTTAAGAGGACAGATGTATCGAGAGATAGAACGTCTCCGGTGAGAAGAACCACGAGACCAGGAGAATCTACATGGAACGGGCAGTTTACATACGAGAAGCCTCAGGATACCACTAAAAAGTCGTCGACAGACAAGACGGTCGTCAGAACGAGCGAAAAGAGACACGATTCTGTCGACATCCAAGATATCACCGAAGAACAAAATGTCTCCAACGTGTCAGAGTCCGTTTCATCCTCCTACGTCGTCGAATACGCTACGATCAGCGACGAGAAGAAGAAGATCAGCGAGAAGGTGACCGCCGTTTCTGACGCGATCTTAGAAGAAGACTCCGGAGAGAGTGGTTCTCCTCGACGACCAGGTACTCCGCAAAAATCAGTTAAACCAGACTCAACAACGTCGCAGAATTACAAACCTGGACAGTCTACGTGGGACGGAAGCTTCGTCTACGAAAAGCCACAGGTCCCCGAGCGTCGCAGAAAACCGGAAGCTCGTCGAACCACCGACTCGGTTGTGATCCGTGACGTCACGGAGGACAACTCTATAAACGAGGCGGAAATCTCTACAGCATCCTACGTGGTTGAGCATTCGTCCAGCCAGCAGAGTTTCACGGAAGTCAAAGACTCCAGCCTCTCTTCTGTGCACGAAACAGTGATCGTGGACTCGCAACCGGTACGTCAGGACGGTTCGAGCAGACCAGGAAGTCCAGAGAAGGCGCCTAAAGGCAGAGAAACTAGAGTTACCAAGCCTGGTTCGTCGACCTGGGACGGGACCTTCGTCAGAGAGAGAACACCAGAGCCTAAGAGACCGTCGAGCAGAGAATCTATCGATAAATCTGTCGAAGAGCCTAGAGAGAGTCCTGTGCCAAGATCGAGGAAGCACGTGAGTGATACCACTTTAGATATTCGAGATAAAGTATCCAGTAGCTCGGAGGTCTTCAGCAATTCCATAGTCGTGGAGCAATCATCTGCCCACGAGAGTTATTCGGATTCCTCGAATCTGGATTACTCTACCAGCTCTATGGAGACGGTGATTATTCGCAACGGAGTTCCAGTGACGGTACAGAAAAGCGTGACGATCGAGGAAGGATCTAAAGGTCCGGAGAAGAAACCGTTAGAACCGAAAGCTCGTCGACCTCAACCAGACGACTCGAAGTTACCCGAGAAACGTTCAAAGAGCCCGGAGAAGACTGACAGAACCACTCGACCGTCTAAACCAGGTGCCTCCACGTGGGACGGTTCGTTCGTGTACGAAAAACCTTCAGACAAGCCGACCGATAAGAGACCATCGACCGATATAGCTCGCCAGCCGACAGATAAACAAACCTCGATTCAAATCTCGCCGACAGACGTCAGAACGTCACCGGATGACAAGCAATCCACTTACATAACCGAAAAATCGATCACTCTGTCGGATACTTCGAGAGAAACCTCCGAATTCGTCACTTCGACCACTCTGGAACGCACTCTCGTCTCTGATACCGAGGTCCACGATTCCTCCAAAGTATCCACGACGATCGTACAGGAAATCGACGACAAGAAGAGGCTCGGCGAACCAGTTCCCCGGTCACCGGGCAGAAAACATCCAGAAGATGGGAAAAAGTCTCCGGAGAGACGTCCGAAAAGCCCAGAGAAGAGCAGTCCTATAGATAGAACCGCGAGACCGAGCAAACCTGGTGCTTCGACTTGGGACGGTTCGTTCGTGTACGAGAAGCCGCGAGAGGAAAAGAAGAAAGCGACGGATCAGGATAAGAAGCCAAGAGAAGAGGGACAAAAAGATTCTCCGGCTAAAGATAAACCTAAAGGGGACAAACCGAGGTCCGTAGTGCCTAAAGACGACGAGACGCATATCACGGTGGTGAGACGCGACGTGACAGATGTACGAGACGCGAAGGATATCACGGATATCGAGCTGGTACAGCAATCGTCTTACGTAATCGATCAGTCGTCCAGTTTCACCTCGGTGCAGGACGTCCGCGACGTGCTCGAGGAACGTGTCATCAGCGAATTTACAACGGACACGCGTAAAGACGTGGTGAGTAACGAGATCCCATTAGCCAATATTCCGTTCGCCAGGGACCAAGGGGGGATAGGGCAAAGGCACAGTGGCGAACGTTGTTCCTCTCCAAGATCGTCACGTCCGGAACTAACAATGCTCGCCCCTGTTCTCTCATTCGATCAATTTCTTGCGTAAAACTTAACTATCCTGCATACAGATGGAATAATAGCTCTGCAGGAGTAAGAACGTTCAATTGGAGCGATTTTTTTTAAGCTAAATGAGGTCTTTAATCTTTCTCGAGCATGTCTCGATTCACGAGTGGAAAAAGGGTTACATTGGGTTTTTCCTTTGTTTTTTTTTTTTTCGTGGTGCAATTGACTTTACAGTGAAGTCGCGGAGGAAATACAGTGAATACGAAGGTAGACTGCACACCTCGCGGAAGAGGCTCGGTTTGTACTTTCACTTCCAAAGCAGGCGAAGGTTGTAGGTTCTCCTGCGTTATTCGATTAAAAATAAATGGTGACGTAACGCGGCAGGACGAAGGAGAGGAATAAATATGGAGAACAATGAGGGAGATGGTGAATAATCTTTGGTACGATTGCAATTCGACGTTAACCGTGGTGTAACAAGAATACGTCGGAATTTGCATATTTTTCATCGTAAAAGTCGACGATCGTTTCCGTGAATATTTCTTCTCCATGCACTAAATTGGTATTCCGCTACGGGAAGAAGGTGTTGCAATAGGCGATAAAACTGTCGAGTCCGCGTTTCCATTTAGCGACGTTTCATGCGACTAATTATAGCGTCGGCGTCACGCAGCGTCCTTTGCGATCGCGTCGAACACGTTTTACGTTCCGGCTGATAAATCCCCGTTTGCGTTCCAATTATCGCGAGCACTGGCTTCCGACTGTATCGCCTCGTCTAATTGTTCGAATGTGTCGTTAAGTGATTTTTCACGAGAGAAACGATCGTTTCTAAATAGATTAGGCTTCCTTGTTTCGTTAATGTTTTCTCCATACTAACTCTTTGCGGTCGTGTTTTCTGTAGGTTGGTTTATTATTTGGGAATTACATATTATTTAGGTAACGCGCGCTCGCTAAAAGACGTATAAGTTTTATTCAAACGAGTTTGTTTAACCCTGTCAGTACCAATTATCGTATTCGACATCGAAAAGTGCCACCTTATCGAGCCACGAAGTGTAAATTTTATTCCATTTCTTAATTACTTAAAAAATTCACCAAAAATCCTGCACACAATCAATTTTACCTTTGTCTTGTGTTATTCCCAAACAAATTCTATTCTGCTATTTTTTATAATCTGTCTACTTTTTGGCAAAAATTTAACAGAAACCGTGCACATAATCAACTTTGCCTTTGTCTCGTGTTATTCCCAAACACTCGTATTCGGTGAAAATGTCGAAAACGCGATATTTGCAATTTTTCGACAGCAAATGAAAGTGCCGCTTGTCACTTTCCGGTCAGATTTCTGCAATAACCCGCGCCACCTAAACGATCAACCTGCCTGCATATTATTTTCCTTTCCTCCACTTCTGCAAGCGAAGTGTCCACGGAGAGTTTCGAAGGTAAAAACGCCTCGCCGCCAAGAGTTAACGAGAGAATCACTCGTGACGATTCTGTCATCGTAAACACCTCGTTTCCAGTGAAATACGCAGCAGCCAGGTCTCCGTGTAACGATTTTCCCGCCCGAGGGTATTTCCGAGCGCCGCAATCCCCGCGGGGAAATAATTCGTACACACCGCGACGATTTCCAGCTCGACCGGTGTAAATAGTTATTGTAAACCGTACGACGTGGCACGAGAGGTGACTATTACACGGGAATACGGGCGAAACGAGCGCGGAATATCTTGTTCGAGCAACCGATTAATAAAAGCGAACAGAATCGCCCGTGGCGTGTGTCGTGTGCACGCAACTGCAATCACCTGCAATCGACTCCAATCGAGCGTATGTAAAGCGATAATAATTGTGCAGACAGCCTGGCCAAGTTCGGCAGTGATCTCATCTCCTGATTTCTGCCGCCTTTTAAAACGTTCGCCAATCGACAGCGAGTTTGTATATAACCGTCCCACAGGCCTTTGATCCGTTCATCGATTCTTCATACTTGTCGGTTAAGTCAGCTTAGTTTGACTATCTTTGACCTGGTTCCGATGAAACGCCTGTTATTCTTTTGCCTCCGATAACGTTTTACACAGACGAAATGACAATTACGGAATATGATTTAGTACTTGTGTACGCCAGTTGTGCGAATTACTACGCGGGTAGAAATAGAGCGAAACTGTGTAGAATTTGCGGGAGAGTTTTGTAGAATTGGTTGACGCGATGGTAAAATGGGTTGCGTGCACCTTTATCAACAGTGATCTAACTACAATCGAAGGCACGCGATACGAGGGAGAAAGAATTGATCGTGAAACACCGTGACCAAGTTTGACAGTGATGTCATCGGCCGTTGGCAGCTTGTTGAACGCGGAACCAATTGAATTTCATGCCGCGTTCTCCTTGGATCCTCTTACTTGACCCCCCTATATTGGATCGTCGCGATTATCTGTGTCACAATTCAAAGTCTTCCGAAGCTTAGTACGTGTGTACGTGTATGTAGATTCTCTGACAATACATATTATTCGTTCATACGTGGAACAGTTTATCCTCCGTGACAAGGTGAACTATCAATGCCCAAACTTGTGAATGATGTCACCGTTCACGAGGCTCTAACCAATGGAATTCCACATACGCAAATCTCGTACCTGGTTACGCGTAGCCTTGTTGTAAAACTGATAACGCCAGCGGTTCGGAAAATTTACGATTGTGTTGAAATAGTTCAACGTAAACATCGTTCGATTTCTGTGTACCGTGTATCAGTTGTGGCACGCGAGTATGTAATTCGTGTGATCGATTTGAAAGTATGCGGAATTGCTCGATTACGTTCGTTCGTTTTTTCCATTTCGATATTTAACGTTTTCTGCGCGGAGAGACACGTCATTACTATTTCTGTGTACGTAAAGGCAATAATTGGTTAGTTCGAATGTGTGTTTTTCGTTCAAAGTGCAGGTTTAATCTGCTTCGTGAGGAGTTTTAAATTGTTTTCTGTGTCCTTGTATGGGAATGCGGTTACAGATCCATTATCAGGATTTCTCGGTATGCAAAGGAGGAAAGGATAACGTTATGTTTTATTGAAAGTTGCAGCGTTGGATTGTGAGAATTGCGGGAGCTTCGATTCACTTTCGCGGAGATTTCGATTTCTTCGAAATTTATTCTCCTTTTGGTATCTATGATGTAAGTTCGAGATTTGGGAAATTGAGGGGGATATGAAAGCTTAGAGCTCTGATTCGCTTGGTAGGGTTCTTAGTGTCTTCAATATTCATGCCGCACGTTTCCCATTTCGTTCTGTATTACAAAAACTCTCGATTTGGAAAATTTCGGGGGAGAGTTTTCTCTGGTGGTTTAAGTATATGATCGATGTGGAAGCTCGAAGCTCTGATTCACTTTGCAGCGATCTCAGCTTCTTTAAAATTCATACCGCACTCTTCGACTTCTCTGTGACCTAAACTCTCGATTTCGAAAATTTCGGGGGGTATGAAAACTCACAGCTCTGATTCACTTTGCAGCGATCTCAATTTCTCCAAAATTCATTCTTCTCCCTTCATTCTCTATGACTCACACTCTCTATTTGAAAAATTTCGGGGGATATGAAAGCTCACAGCTCTGATTCACTTTGCAACGATCTCAATTTCTCCAAAATTCATTCTTCTCCCTTCATTCTCTATGACTCAAACTCTCAATTTCGAAAATTTCGAGGGATATGAAAGCTCAAAGCTCTGTTCACTTTGCAACGATCTCACCTTCTCCAAAATTCATACCACACTCTTCTCCCTTCATTCTCTATGGCCCAAACTCTCAATTTGGAATATTTCGGGGAATACGAAAGCTCAAAGCTCTGTTCACTTTGCAGGAATCTCAATTCTTTCAAAATTCATTCCCCGTCCTTTTCTCTCCATTCTTCTCTACGACTCAAACTTTCATTTTGGAAAATCTCGGGGGATACGAAAGCTCAAAGCTCTGATTCACTTTGCAGCCATCTCAATTCCTTCAAAATTTATTCCTCATTTCTCTCTCTTCATTCTCTATGGCCCAGACTCTTAATTTAGAAAATTTCGAGGGATACGAAAGCTCAAAGCTCTGATTCACTTTGCAGCCATCTCAGTTCCTTCAAAATTTATTCCTCATTTCTCTTTCTTCATTCTCCATGGCCCAGACTCTCAATTTAGAAAATTTCGAGGGATACGAAAGCTCAAAGCTCTGATTCACTTTGCAGCCATCTCAGTTCCTTCAAAATTTATTCCTCATTTCTCTCTCTTCATTCTCTATGGCCCAGACTCTCAATTTAGAAAATTTCGAGGGATACGAAAGCTCAAAGCTCTGATTCACTTTGCAGCGATCTCAGTGTCTTCAAAATTCACACTACATTCTGACTCAAACTCTCGAATTGAAAAATTCGAAAGTTCAAAGGGAAGCCTTTCGATAGACATAAAAGCTCAGGGGCAGCATCAGTTGGTTCCCGTGACATCAGTTTTGAGGTCTCGCGCTGGTCGATGAAATACTTGGCAGTCGGGCTTCCGCCAGACGCACACGCACACAAATATATAACATTTACCATCCACCCTATGAATATCAATTTCTTCCGCCAACGGCGGCGAGACCAGGGCGAATTCAACAGGTACTCCGAAGGGAAATTCAACCTAGGTGAATCTTTTATTTTTCTTTAGATCCAATTAACGTAACAATCGAAACCGGACTCTTTGAGCGTCTTTAACGAGAGCACTCGACTTAATTGCATGCACGCGCGCGAGCTCCCAGCTTCGGCCGACTTAATGACGGCAATTTCGACGGCCTTCTGCTTTCTTCTTCTTCTCCTCCTTCACCATGGAACAGCGTTTCGCGCGTCTCTATAAACGGACTTTACACTCTGGATCAAGAAAGTTGCTTTCCTAGCTGGTGTGGTGGTATTCATTCGATCTGCCGGGA